CACACACACACACACACACACACACACACACACACACACACACACACACACACACACCGAGAACCGCCCGCTCAAAAGTGTGCTGCATCTCCAGGCCGGTCCACAGCCGGGTTCACCTCCGCCCAGGCTGCTTTCCACCCCGGCTTCAGTTCAGGGGGTGCGGCGGCGTCACGTGACCCGGCAGCCCGGCCAATCAGCGAAGCCCCTCGGAGTTTTCAAATCTGCTGCAGGTCCAACGTCTGCTCCTCGCTTACTGGTCCTCTGGTCATGGATGGTGCCTGGGCCTGACAGACTCTGGGCTCAGAGGGCGGCATGGAGAATCGGGGTGTGCCTCCTGGACCTTACCGGGCCACCAAATTGGTAAGTCAGCGCGAGAACGACGAGATTTGCTGGCTTAACTGGGGGCTGTTATGTGCAGTGGAGTCGGAACGAACACATAAGTGACTTTTCAGCGGGTTCTCCGGGAGGAAGTTGCACATCTTTCTCCCACAGAATAACTGGTGGATTCGAACTGGCTGCATTTTGCGTTTATCATTTTACCCTGCTTCGGAGGATGGGTCCCAGAGGCCCTAGAAGGAAAAATCAAAAGCCAAAACTACAGCCTTCCAGCTGATTCTGACTCATGGCGACCCACAGTGCAGAGTAGACCTGCCCCATCATTTTTCCACGATAGTAGTAAGTCTTTGTGGAAACAAGCTGCCCCAGTCTCCCCGCAGAGCAACTGGTGCTGCAAGCAACAGCATTTGGGTTAGCAGCTGAGTGCTAAACTGCGGCATCACCAAGCTTCCCTGAGGCAAAAAAGAAGAGAATAAATCGCTTTATAAAACCCTGAAGCTGACCCTGCTGGGGTTCTATGTCCAAAGGAAATACCCCTCCCTACCAAGGCTGCTTCATACTATCATAACACTATACTGTGTTAGAATTTGGAATGAGTTTCTATGCCGTTTAAACTCAAACTGGAGACAGGCCCTAATGGGACAGCTTCTTTGAACTGAGCACAGGATACATAGATTGGTCTTGGCTAAATAGCACTTGTTGTTATTGTTGATTGCCTTGAATCAAGCACGATTCATAGCGATCTTATGGACAAAAGGTCTGAAGCCCCTCTCCAACTACTGACATATATCAAAGTTCATAGAGTTTCTGAGGCATGTTTTTTAGGAAGTGGGTGCCACTCCTGTTTTTAAAAGACGAAAGGATTTTGAAGTACCTATCAGTAAGCATTGTCGGTGGTCACTGGACATGTATTATTTCACAAAATAATACTATATGGTTTAAGGGTAGGGAAGGTATGCATCTAGGTTTTATCCTTTCTCTATGCCTATTTAATCTTTATGCTGAGCAAATTATTCCAGAAGCTGGACTCTCTGGAGAAAAATGCGGCCTCAGAACAGGAGGAAGAATTCTCAATAATTTGCGTTGTGTGCATGACACAACCCTGCTTCCTAAAAGTCAGGAACACTTGAAGCACTTGCTGTAGAAAGTTAGACACTGCATCCTTCACTACAGATTGCACTTCAACATGAGAAAACAGAAATCCTCACCACTGGATTGATAGGCAGCCTCATGATAAATGGCAAAAAAGATTAAAACTGTCAGTGATTTTATTTTATGTGGATTCACAAACAATATAATTGGCTCCAGCAATCAAGAGATCGGGGGATGTATTGCACTGGGCAAGTGCTATCAGAGACCTCTCCAAATTATTTTAAAAGCAGTGATGTCCGTTTGTGGACCAAGGTGCACCTGATTCAGGCCATGGTCTTTTCAGTCACTTACTGTGCATTTGAGAGCAGGTCAATGAATAGGAGTGACAACAGAATTTGATTTGTGGTGCTGTAGATGAATACTGAATTTCCCAACTACTGTCAAGAAAACAAATGTGTCTTGGAGAAGTTGCAGCCAGAGTGTGTTCCTGGGAGGCAAAGATTTTAAAGCTTTGTCTCACATACTTTTGGCATGTTGCTTGGAGAGGCTGTTCTTTGGAGAAGGGACATCATGCTTGGAAAGGTGTTGGGACACTGACTGCAGCAATGAGCTTGAGTGTCTAAGAGAATTTGTGGATGGCACAGGATAGGCCAGGGTTCAGATCTGTTTTTCATAGGGTCGCTATGAGTCAACTCGAGGGCACCAAACAACAGCAGAGTGTTTTGTGCATTTAAAAGGAAACCTGATTGCACAAGTGACTAAGCCCTCACTTTAGTCCCCTGGGCAAGATGTCAAGATAGAAGAATCTACTTATGATTTACAGCCTTACAAACCTCAAGGAGTGGTTCTACTCTATGTTACTCCTGTAAGATTTGATTCTACTTGATCTTACCCCTTACTATGACTTGGATCCTATCAGAGAATATCCTTAGTGACCTTATATTTATTAGCCCCTCATTACTTTCAGTGGGAGAGGTAGTGTAGGGAGGACTTGAAGGTTGCACAGTTTCTGATGGTTTCAAGCCACCAGTAGCATGAAGGGAGAAGATGAGCAGTCTCTTCCCGTTAATATTTACAGTTATGGGAAACCTGACAGAGAACCACTTGGAGTTGTAACTGACTCAACAACCGTGACTTTGGTTTTGAGTTGTGTTTTACTTGCATGGAAATTGCAGCTCATTCACAAAAGTTAGCTGATTTTCCTGAAGCTACATACGCAGTAAATGGAAAGGTTGGGAGGATTCAGGTCTTCTTGTTATAGTGTTCTCTATCTGAATTCTCCTGCTCAAGATAATTTAGAACTGGAAAGAATGATAATCAGGTCACATTATTTTTAAAATATATTGAATTAGATAAAAGTAGAATTAAAAAACCTATGGTTGTGTAACAATCCCCACTCATGGCAACCCTCCAACTCCATTGAGTTCTTCAAGCTGTAAATCTTAAAATGACTGCCTCAGCTTTTTGGGAACAGCTGGTGGATTAGAACTGTCAGCCTTTCAGTTTGCAGCCTTAAATTTAACCTATACCACCATAACTTTCCAAAGTAGAAATTGTTTTTATCTTACAAGACTATTAGGTACTTTCCTTAAATGTCCTATTATGTACTGTTGTTAAGTGTCACTGTATGACTACAACTTGTAATGACCTAGTGAAAAACAGATTGAAATTTAGTCCTTCACCATCCTCACAATTGTTGCTGTGTTTGAACTCATTGCTACAATTACTGTGTCAATCCGTCTGTGTGAGATTCTTCCTCTGTCATTGACATTCCACTTTTATAAACATGATAACCTCCTTCCAGGACTACCCTGCCCTGAAAATATGGCCAGAGTATGTGAGACACAGTCTCAGCATCCTTGCTTGAATGTAGCACTCTGGCTATTCTTTTTTCAAGATGTTGTTGTTGTTGTTATTGTTATTGTTATTGTTATGTGCTGTTGAGTCGCTTGCAACTTATAGCAACCCTATGTACAACAGCCCTAGACCCTGCCAATCTTATTGTCTCCGACACACCTATCCCTGTTACCCCAGTGACTGGATCAATCCATCTCATAGAGGGTCTTTCTTTCCTGTGCTGTCCCTCCACCCTCCCAAACATGACATCCCTCTCCAAGGAGTGATTACATGTCCAAAATATGTCAGATGCAGCTTCAGAATCCTTGCCTCTAAGGAGCAGCCTGGCTTCACCCTCTCCAGGATGAACTTGTTTGTTCTCCTAGCAATCCATGCTATCTTCAATACTCTTCTCCAGGACCACAGCTCAAAGACATCAACTCTCCTTCTATCATCCCTAGTCATTGTCCAGCTCTCTGACGCATAGCAAGTAGTTGCAGAGACCATGGCCTTTGATCATGTGCACCTTAGTCTCCAGACTGACATCGTTGCTCCTCAGTACCTTGGAGAGGTCTCTGATAGTAAACTTTTGCAATGCAAACCATCTTTTAATTTTCTGGCTGCTGAAATCAAGAATGTTGATTGTAGAGCCAAGCAAACTGAAGCTGTCAACAATCTTAATCTCTTCACCATCCATACTGATGCTGGCAATTGGCCCAGTGGTAAGAATCTTTGTTTTCTTGATGTTGAGCTTCAATCCATACTGAAGGCTTCAGTTCTTGATCCTTTGCAGCAAGTGCTTCAGGTTCTCCTCAATTTCAGCAAGCATAGATTTGTTTATACTTTATTCTGACCCATAGGCACATGATTCAAATCCATCAGCTATTCAGAGAAAAGGTGGGCAATCTCCTGAAAGCCCGCTGTAGCATCAGCTATCAGTTGGCTCCTATTCAATGATATGTAATAGCAACATTACATTAAAACATAACAGCACTCAAATTATTAAAATAAAATAAATTTCGCTGTATGAAACTTTACATATCACAATTAAGATTACTACGTTTTTTAAGGTTTCTATGGTGTGATTTCAAATCATCAAGAGGTTTCACTTTTTCCTGTTTAATCATTTGCTCTTATTTTTGCAGTGGAATGAAGTCACCACATCTTTTCGGGTAGGAATGCCTCTCAGGAAACATAGGCAGCACTTTAAAAAATACGGCAGTTGTTTCACAGCAGTTGAAGCAGTGGACTGGCTTTATGATCTATTAAGAAATAATAGTAATTTTGGTCCTGAAGTTACAAGGCAGCAGACTATCCAGCTGCTGAGAAAGTTTCTCAAGAATCATGTAATTGAAGATATCAAGGGCAGGTGGGGATCAGAAAACCTTGATGACAACAATCAGCTATTCAGGTACTGAACTCATATATAACTACAAAACTGAATTTCAGTAAGGACTAATTTCCACTTCTATTATATTTTTACAACAGCTTCTTCAAAAGTAATACTTTCTCTAGAAAACTGTCACTGTTCTTAGTTCAATTAAAACCATTAAAAAGAGTAAATTGCTATCAAATTCATAATTTTAAATTGTGAACTAGACATATAAAACAAGGAAATGGATAAAGTGAGAAATAATTATTATCATCTTTAATTTCTTATCACACATTGAGGACTGGTTATTCCCAGTTATTGATGTGTGTCAGTCATCACGTTGGAACCAACACATAGCTGACCCTCCAACAGTTGCCCACAGACTCTAAGTTGCACAGGAGGAGACTGCCCATTTTTCTCTTGCAAAGCAGTTAATGGATTTGAACTGTATGCCTTTGGTTTGACAGTGAAACTCCTTACCACTAAGCCACTAGAGCTCCCTTTTTACTGGTTATTAGTGTCCTGGATTCTAGATTTGCAAGGACAAACAGACCAGTCTTTGCCACATATAATCTAATACAACCTAAGAAATCTTTAAATCAGGTAAGTCAATCAAGCTTTCTTTAATTAATAGGAAAAAAAACCTGTGTTACAGGGTCTAGAGAATATTATTAAGCCACTATTATGTACCAGACATTACAATAAATAATTTAGAAATTATTTTTTTAAATTTAACCCCTAGCCTAGCCAAACAGCAAAGATATGAACCCTTTTTAATAGATGAGGAACTGAGGCCATACCTCAACCAATCTTGTTCCCTTTGTCTAAAATATTCTTACACATTTGTCAGATTGGTGTATTTATACACTTTTTTCTCTTCCCGCCCCCTTCATCACAGCTCCAAAGTGCAGCCTCCTGCACATCATTCCTGATTCCTTTGGGCCAGTCAGTGTATCTGCTTTTTCTCTCACATGCATCATCCATGAAACTTAGTTTTTCAATTCTATTTTCTTTACTTAATTTTTTCTATAGCATCACCGCTTTTTAAATGAAATGTCTTGGAAATGGATTCTTGCCTTTGTGTCGTAGAAAAGATTTCTGTTATATAGATATCATATTATATTTATATTATATTATTATATATATTATAGATAAACTATAATAGCAAGTGCAAATAATCCCTTTTGCATAACACTCTACATTATAGTTGTACTGTCTTAACTATTTCTCAGTCATTTTTGTCTGTTCCTCTGCTGCTGCACTAGTGGTCCACTGGGAGTTGTGCTGCTAAGCCTGAAGACCTTGTTTCTGGTTCCAGGAGGAGCCAGGGAGAAAGATGGGCAGTCCCCTCCTTGCTATTTACAGCCTTGGAAAACCAATGGAGGGTCAGCTATGATTTGAGTCTGAATCAACAGCAATGAGAAAGTGCTATGACTAGACTTGCCCCATTTCATTTCTGTCTTTAAATAAGCTCATATCATATCTTCATCTACTTTTCTTATGATTTCCAAATGTTCAACCCAAAAACCTCTCCTACTAATTGAATACTTGAAATTATTACATAGAAAATTATCTTATCCTAACCTAAATCATAGCATCTATTCCCCCTCCTAGTGGGCGATACAGTCTTCCTTCCTTTAATTTTTTTCTTCGATTTAAGTATAATTGTCGAATCATTTAGATTCTATTATAAAAATTACATAATTATTCTCTAATGTGTCTATGTTTCTATCTGCTGGGAATGTTCTTTAACTCCTTTATTCTTTATTACTTGAATTTCTGCAATTATGCCTCAACTTAATTTCTGACTTTTGTCTTTTACAATATTAATAAATCCATAAAGTACCTCATCTAGAAATAAAGCTTACCAAAAATGTGCTCCAGAGCTCACTAAGAAAAATTATCAATTATTGAAAGGAATAAATAGAAAAAGATGTTCTGATTATGAATGAGAAGACTTAGTATCATAGGTAAATGAATTCTTCCCAAATTATTCATTCACAAAACAAATGGTAAAAGAAACTTTATTCACTAAATATGTTAAGTTAATCAGGTAGACTACAGCTAGACCTTAAACTTTGGCACAAAAATAAATTATAAATAGATTAAATACCAAAATGTAAAAACTAAAATTATTAAGTGAAATAATTTAGGACATTGGGATAAAAAAAAGTTAGGAGGTTATAGAAAGTATAAGTGTAAATTTAATGTTTGATTATGCTATTATAAAATGAAAAAACACCCAGCTGTGAATACTTATGTATATTAGAAGTATAAAAATGTGAGCAAGAAGGAAGTCCATTTTATGTTACTAATTTATCACATGCAAGTAAGATTCTGCTGAAAATTGTCTAAAAATGACTGGAGCTATACATCAACAGAGAACTGCCAGAAGTGCAAGCTGAGTTTAAAAGAGGCTATTGTACTAGGGATATTATAGCTAATGTTAGATGGATTTTGGCTGAAAGCAGAGAGTACCAGAGGAATGTCTGCCTGTGTTTCATTGACTATGCAAAGGCATTTGACTTTGTTGTGGATCACAACAAACTATGGCTGATTCTGAGAAGAATAGGAATTCCAGAACATTTGATTGTGCTTGAAACCTATACCAGGAGGCAGCCATCAGAACAGAGCAAGGAGACACTACATGGTTCAGAATAGGGTAGAGTATACACCAGGGATGTATTCTGTCTCCATACCTTTTCAGTCTAGATGTAGAACAGATCATCAGAGGGGCTGGGCTATATGAGGAGGAATATCACATCAGGATTGGAGGAAGATTCATCAACAACCTGCGTTATACAGATGACACAACCTTGATTGCTAGAACTGAGGAGGACCTGAAGCACTTGCTGCAGAAGATCAAGGACCACAGCCTTCAATATGGATTGAAGTTCAATATCAAGAAAATAAAGATTCTCACCATTTGGCCAATTGGCAGCATCATGATGGATGGTGAAGAGTTTGAGATTATTAACAGCTTTAGTTTGCTTGGCTCCACAATCAGCACAGCAGCCAAGAAATCAAGAGACACATTGCATCAGGGAAAGTCAGCTGTCAGGACCTCTCCAGAGTCCTGAAGAGCAATTATGTCAGTCTGAAGACTAAAGCGCACCTGATCCAGGCCATAGGCTTTGCAGTTACCTACTATGCGTCAAAGAGCTGGTCTGTGACTAGGAAGGATAGAAAGAGAATTGATGCCTTTGAGTGGTGGTGCTCTAGAATGTTGAATATACCATGGACTACCAGGAAAACAAGCAGGTTCGTCTTATAGAAGGTGATGCCAGCCTGCTCCTTGGATGCAAGGATTCTGAGGCTTCATCTGATGTACTTTGGACATGGTGTAAGGAGGGCCCAGTCCTTGGAGAGGGCCATCATGCTTGGATGGTGGGGGGATGGGAAAAGAGGGAGGACGTTGAGGAAATGGATTGATACAATGACTGGAGCAATGAGGGCAGGTGTGTTGGAGATAGTAAAGTTGGCACAAGATAGAGCAGGTTTCAGGGCTATTATACATAGTGCTGCTTTGAGTTGCAAGCCACTCGATGACACATAACAACAACAATTTACCTTAAAGAAGAAAGTGAAATTAAATAAAGAATACCCTAGGTACTTGAATCTGTATTTTTCTTTCATTAAAATAGATAACATGAACACTATGACAAAATATTAACAGTTGCACTGGTTGATGATGATCTGTAGTCTTTACACTTTTGTCGATGAAATGAATGAAGAAAGCAAAGAGCAGCATAATCTGTGGAGCAATACAGACCAAGGCCTAGAAATGAAAACAATCACAGTCAAACAAAGAGCAGGAAACATGCAAATTAAATAGTTCATGAAGGGAATTCAGAAAGTAGCATTCTAAAGGCATTTTGTGCAAAAGGACTCTCCAAGACAATTAATCCTAATAATTTTGAGGTGTTCAGAGATAAAGGCTCCTTAATGGTGCAGTGATTAAGTGCTTGGTTTAGAGATACTCCTAGAAGGATTGTAGCCCAGGAAACCTTGTGGTATGAGGTCACTGTGACTCAAAATGCACTTGGCAACACTTAACCACAAATAATCTGGAAATAAAGTTAACAATTTGTAAAACGTACTAAAAAAACCATTTAGAAAGTTTTAATGGGAAACTTACTTGCTATCTGCACTCCTTGATAATATAAATCAAATTCTTTCTGTGATTTTTGATAATTTTTTTCTAAAGGATTATTTCTGTTCTCCCATTGTTTTATTGCATATTATTTTTAAACTAGATTTCCTGCAACTTCTCCACTTAAAACTCTCCCACGGAGGCATCCAGAATTGAGAAACGTCAACCTAGAGAACTTTTCCAAAGATAAAGATGTTTTTAAATTACGAAACTTAACGCGTAGAACTCCAAAAAATCATGGATTACATTCCTCAAAGGTAAAACGTTCTTTACTATTCACTGGGAAGACCCTCAACAAAATGAATTGGCACAGTTATTTTAACAATGGGCTTGAGCATACCAGTGATGGTGAAAATGGCACAAGACAGGGCAGGCTTCATATTTGTTGTTCATAATGTCAGTGTGAGTTATAGCTGATTCAGTGCCACCTAAGAACATTTAAATATGAGTACCATTCAACCAGTGTGGTTGAAGACATGCTGTCAAATAGGCTTTAACTCAGTATACAACAGGATGAAACTCCACCTGATTTGCCACATACTCTTTACCTCTGCTGTGTTCAAGTCTATGTTGCAATCTCCATGAGAGTCTTTCTTTCACTGATCTACAGACACCTCTGATAATATGCCCTAGGTATTATTTTATTATGTTATGAGGTGCCATCGAGTATGACTGAGAGCAATCCTATAAATAATGGAACTGAACCAGTCATCCTGTGCCATCCTCACAGAGTTTGGTGAAGCTTCCTGATTAAAACAAGCTTGGAAGCAGGAGTGGCATCCATTTCTGACATAGCTTGCCTCTCTGGAAACTATGAACTTGGAGAAATGATGATAGTTATACAATTGTTCAGGTCTTTCATTTATAGGGTCGCTGAGTTGTCTACACCTCGACGGCACCTAATAACAACAACATGTAAGCAATAATTTTTTTAAAAAATAAGTGATTATT